TATACGTTCTCGGCATCGATTCCCGGAAGTAAAAAAGCCTTTATTTTGTTTTCTTGTAATAAATAATCACTACCACGTATGCTCGAATAACTCATGATAATTTCAGCCTTGGGTTGAAACGATTACATGACAAAATTTTGAACCCAGGGCTGAGTTCAACCCCGGGGTTGAAATTTCAACCCTGCTAGCTGAAGCAGGGTTGAAATTTCAACCCCAGGGTTGAACTCAGCCCTGGGTTGAAAATTTTGTCATGTAATCGCGCGTTTGATTTTGATAGAGTTTTGTATTACAGACAGGACTGAAATTTCAACCCGGTAAACAGGGCTGAGTTCAACCCCGGGGTTGAAAATGCTCCAAATGGGTCATGTAATCGTTTCAACCCAGGGCTGAAATTATCATGAGTTATTCGAGCATACATGGTAGTGACTATTAGTATTACAAGAAAACAAAATAAAGGGTTTTTTTACTTCCGCGAATCGATGCCGAGAACGTATAGTATTACACTATTACGTTTCAACCCCGGGGTTGAAATCGTCCATGTAATCGCAAAAAATTTCAACTCGGTTAACAGGGCTGAGTTCAACCCCGTCGAATTTTTGGTCACGTCGAAGACAATAGATAATGATTAATGAGATGATAAACCTCATTAAGTTTCATTATCTATTGTTTGAATTGCATTCGGCGCGACCGAAATTCGACGTATAAAACGGGCCTAAAGGCCATGTTACACGGTGCAATTTTTCTTGCAACTTGCGTTGCAATTCTACTCTTGAGAGATGTCAATTAGTGAAATCAGTGAAGAATTTTCGATATGTTGAGAAAACATCAGCGGAGTATGATGTAAGCTTTTAAAAACTAGCACTAGGCAATACTATACACGTGAAGGTTTATAAGAAGTCTTTTTATTTATTTTGATAAGGAAGCCGTTTTATTTGTTATTCATAATTCAACTATAGATTTTTTGAAACTTACGGCAATTAATGTTGAGAATATTGAAAATGCGCATTTTGTTTCGAACGGAATTTTGAATTACTAGCAAAAATGAAAACTTAGCGCATTTTACGACACACGAAGACACACGACTTTGTACTCACGATACATGACGGAAGAATGATTTCAATGCTACTCACAAGATGTTCCCAATTTGCCAATGTTATACTAAATAAGAGACTTAACTTTTTACACCTTTAGTTCTTGTCGACACAACTGCGAAATCGTAAATCCCTGTTCTCAGGAATTTTTAAACGGGGACGAATTTTTGGGCTTCTATGGTTTTACTCGCACGCGCGCCGTGTCACACGCTATATACTTGGCCAATAAGAAGCGCCTGTAGCCGGAGGTTACGAGATTAAATTTTCTAATTTCCTAAAATTTTTATCATGGGATGAAAAACTATGTTTAATTTAATATAATTATTGTACCCAAATGTGTTTTGGGAGGTTTTTCCTTTCATGTGCAACTTATGTTTTCAATTTTTCGATTGGGACTATTCTACAATGAAGTATTCTTGGATACTGTAATTTAAATACATATGAAGACGAAGAAATAGCATTTATCGGGACTGAGAAGCGCCGAGGGCATTGCAATGGCGGCATATTTGACGAAATATCGATGGACAATTGAGATCTTGGGATTGAAATCATCTTAATATATTAAATTAAGCATATAGCTTTTCATCCCATGATAAAATTTTGTAGGAAATAAGAAAATTTAATCTCTGCCAGGTATATTAGTTATTTCATGCATAATTAGCAGTTGACCTGGGGTGGTGCATGGTCATTTTCTTGTAAAATATTATACTTAAACAAATTTTTCCTTCAAATAACCACCCCTAAAAGCAACCCTTCTAAACACTATAACCACTTCAGAAAGGCTTTTGCTTTTCGGAAGTTAGAGCTACGTCGGCACTGCTGTTTCCGGGCGGGATCATTTTCAGGACAGGACGTTCGTCCCAGATTCAGGTTTTGGCACATATGCCATGTTGACCGCCATGGTCATTTTACCCAATCTCGTTCCCCGAGCCTGCGATCTTCGGGAAGGAACGCGAGGCTCTGGGATAATCCGTTGCCTGAAGCCAGGAATCCTGGCTAAGATTGAACTACGCATTCCATTTCAACGGCCAATCAGATTCGTCACTGAAACGAATTATCCCAGAGCTTCACGTTCCTTCCCGAGGATCGCAGGCTCGGGGAACGAGATTGCATTTTGCCCTAAAACAGTTGAGATTGCCTGTGGTAAATGAAACGCATACAAACTCCTATACAGCTGCTAGACTTGAAAATAACACTGTAAATAGTGTTTTGGATATTGATTCGACTATTATATTGATAAGGAGCGTGTTTGGGAGGGAAGCGGAAGTAGAAGGCCTGGCTTGCGAGGTTGAAAGGGATGGTCCCAGGAGAAACAAGAGGATGATTCGCATCGGGAAAAGACCTTTTAACTGGACCTGAGTGTGGAACCCACGTGGGAAAAACATGAACAAGCAGCGACAAAAACAAACCGACGACAAAGGGTGCATGGGAATTGGGGAAACATGGGCGAGAAGCTTGAAGCAGCTGATCGCGAACGCCTCGTTGCTATAGCTCTCATTATATATATTAACATTATATATTCATACAACAACTTGTTATGCGTAACAATCTCCCTTAATTCCCAGTTAACTTCCTTTTATTGTGCCAATAAAATAAATTTAAGGTAAAGCACTATTAAAATTTTCTAATTTCAACTTGATCAGTGTCCTGAACATTTATTGTGCGTATCCCAAAATATTTAATTATTCACCCTAGTATGTATTAGTGCTAGTTTTTTCAGCCATTATTCAGATTAAGTCGCCAACAACAGAACATTGATTTACAAAGACATGCAACGGAGAATGTTATTTGTCCTGTAGTGTGCCGACTGTTGTAGACTGATACATACATAAAACTAATAATTATTATTAATTACTAGCTATGTCTACTTCCCAATACTTGCTAAAAGCGCTCCTATAAAAGCGCAGCTGCAGCCTATACAGTTGTCTGTGCTACGTCTACAAATAGAACCAAAATGTATCATTATAATGCAATAAGTTAGTTTTGAATTGGAAATGCTCCAGGTCCTCGCAACTCTTCGATGAATCGCAGAACTAAATTCTTGGTTACATGTGGCATTAGACAAATATGGGAATAGATCCTTTGTTCGAACGTACCATCCACTGTTTTTACTTTCATCGGTTCTGAACCCAAAGAATAACGGAGCACGATATCTTCTCTTGGTTGTCTGAAATAAACAAACAATGAACCCGGTGCGTGTGATAACCACAAGTCCAAGGAAAGTTCCTTTTGCAGCTCTTGTAACTTTTTCAGTGAAAAGGCCAACATTTGCACTCCACTTACGGCTATTTCTTTAAAATCGTCGTAAGATTTCTTTGAAAGCAGATCCCACATGACTAATACACTGTGTCCGCCTCTGGAGCCGGACAGAGTGCTATCAAGGCCACCAATACACAAAGGATTGTTAGGCGATTTCACTTGATCCTTCTTTCTCATCATAAATACTGCAGCAGGAACAGGACAGCCAAACCACTTGTGTAGACTCATTGCAATAGATTTCACTTCAGGAATACGGAAATCAAACACGGGCAAAACATTTGGAAACATGTTGCGAACCAAACCTTGATTTATTGCCATCTCAAGAAACCGGAGATGGGCTCCACCTAAGGCACCGTCAACATGAAACCAAAATCCATTGCGAGTATCAGATTTAGTTGGGTGTTCTGGAGAATATACACGGCGTTCATACATGCCATGTTCTTTCAAAATGGGCACAAGTTCACTGATGGCAGCTTGTGGATTGTCGTTAGCTCCTTTGAATGTGGTACCACATGTAAAACTACCAGCGGAGGAAAGCCTCTCGATACGAAGGCGGTGACGAGTTTCACTAGACATGGGATGCTAATTGAGCCATCAGTTTCAACGGGCACTGCACGTGGCCAACCGTTTTGATTCAGGAATTCGTCGTTGAAACTGGTAGGGTAGTCATCGGGATATTTCAACGGACAAGGAAAATTTCCACTGCCAAGATCTCGGAATGTTTTGATCTGTAACACTCGTAATGCCTTTTCAAATCCGTGATAACTTTCTTCAGCGAGGAACACAACTGGTATAAAATTGTTTGGACTGTCCTTCACAAGTGGCACATTTTCAGTGTGGTGATCGTGAGACGAAACGTACGCGTTCATACGGGGATTATTTGATCTATTAACTACAGAATGCCCGTTATCTTCCCAGATTGGTCGAGTTTCATGGGTATCAAGGTCTCTTCTGTTTGGGGATTTGGAGCTGTCAGGATCTACTATATGATCATTGAGTGGCATGCCTGCCAAATAATCCCTTGCATTAAACAAAGCGAGAAGGTTGCCTTCACTGCTGCCATTGGATGTAATGTACCCCCAGTATGCGCGTTCTTCCTCATTTGAAGCATCGGATTGCTGTATCCCCCATAGCTTAGCAAAATAATCGAGAACGGCACACTCCATGACTTTAGTGCTCGTAGCGTGTTGTGAAGATGGTGAGAATGGATCGCCACAATTATTGAGTGCGATATCCAAGAATGGTTTTGTTCTTTCGGAATCAAAACTTTGGTTAGCCTGAAAACCTAGGAATGTATTTTGATAGGAGAATAAGTGGTTGTGGAGTTTGTTCCAAGTAGATTCTCTTTGCTCAGGTAAAAGGCCATTTTCTGACAGCCTTGCATCTTCTTTGCGAAGTACGGGATACCAATGGTACTTATCAGGGACGTTACAACCACTATTTCTCTCTCGTGCAGTATACATGGTTCTAAACAAACAGTTCATTTGCAGTTCAGTGTCAAGAGTTGAGATTAAATTAATAGAGTTGGAGTGATTAATAAATACTGACAGACACATAAATGTCATTGATTGGGTATAAAACGCCGAATTAATGAATTATATGAATATGCGTATAGTGGAATTTTATGCTATAAAAGAACATATAGGCCGTGGAAGATTAGTTCGTTTGCTCTCTCCTCCGTAGAGGCTTCTGTTGGCTATGATTACGATTAGTATTGAGATACATTTCACTACACTTTACATGGCGGGTCTTGGAATACGAGCGGAGCCGCTGGGCGAAGGAGCGCAGGCGGGAAAGGGCGAAGAGGTTTGTTTGGGGAGGGGGGCTAAACAAACTTTAGTTGGAGTCTATATTTGGAAATCATTAGAATTATAGACTCTCTGAATAGCTTTTCATGCGTTCTCGAGAGGATTTAACACGCAGAAATCTCGATGTAACCTTCTACAACAACTGATTCGTGATTCAAGTCATATATGAGGAGGAATTATAAGTATAATGTATATTGTTATATAGTTAGTGTCCAAGTTCAATTTTTCTGTTTGCCGATTGGTCAAAACCATGTCACGTGCCGGTCCACAAAACGTCATGTTCGGCAACCGGTCCGCAATCAAACATTTATTGACCTGTCAATAATAAAATGGGTGCAATACGTATGCGTGTCCGTCATCAAGTTCCAAAGTTCATTTTTAAAACTTTTTACTAAACATTTACGGCGTTCCATTTATCCAGTTTTGGTTTCAAATTAAGTTCACTCCAATAACCGGTGAATTATTCATACTTTGACACTTATATACTATAGGGACCGGTCATAAAGTAACTGCTAGGGTGGGCTGGAGTGATTTGGGACGGCCATGGAAAATCTTTCAGCAGTTTCGATGGGCCGCCAATCTTTTTGTATGTCCACGGTTGGGCCACCAAACAAAAACCCATGCATGTCTACTTCAAAAAATAAAGATATTAATAATCAAAGTAAACAAAACTATCCAAATTATCAAATGCAAATGATGCTATTGAAGCCAGTATTTTGTTTATACAACGACAAGAAGTGGTTGAATCATAGCAAATACAACCAACTGGAGAGCAGCTCATGCAGTATCAATGTGCCGGTTGGTCAAGCTTGGTGGAATTATGTATGTCAATACAGTACCGTGTATATTTTACAATGTTCATACCTGCAAGTTTTTTTTATTATAAAAGTGTATTTTCCCAATTTAAATTGGGTGGGTCATGAAAATTTTTTTGTAAGATTAGATGGGCTTTGAAATTTTTATCTACATCCTAAGATGGGTCGCCGAACTTATTGGCAAAATTTGTGATTTACCTCCAGCCCACCCTAGCAGTTACTTTATGACCAGTCCCATATAACAAAACACTTATTTACTGAGACCTTGGGAAAGCAGTGTGTTTTGTGGCCCCTCGACCGCCGTTGTTGCGGTCAACGGCGGTCTCGGGTCCACAAAACACACTGTTTCCCTCGGTCTCAGTAAATAAGTGATAATTATTATATACATAAGGTCTGTATATGAGGTATTCTGCAATCTGATTGGTTCTCTCCTGCCAGGATATTACATATTAGCTCATATCCTTCTAGTAGAGAAAAACAAAATGGCGGCTCAAATTGAATTTCCGACGTTTCCGAACAAAAAATGGCAAGTTGTCAGTGGCGGAACTACTAGGGGCCCAACCTGGCCGAAAGCAGGGGCCCTGGAGAAGGAACTTCTTAGGGGGCCCTTGGCTAATATCAAATAATACAAATATTGTATTTTAATTAAAAGTGTGAAAATATGATATATTTGTCTTAGATGCAAAAAGCTCTGTATAACACCAATGTTCAATTGTAACGAGTTTATACCATAATTTTTAAATCGACGTTATTTGATAGAATTTTCAAAATGTCAATTAGTGAAAGCATGCATCGTTTATGTTATTTGATAATTATTTTAATGCACCTCACGTCCTCGCCCCGTGTTTCCTCGTGTTATTAATTATTTGCCTACGAACTAACGAAAGGTATATGAATTATTTATCTTTTTGACTTCAAAGTTTTATTAAAATTTAGAATTTTAACATATCTTCGTAATATGATTTAGGTACCGCGCTAGTCCGGGCCCCTCGTATTAGTCGGCCTGCCAAGGTGGCAAAAAGTGCCTCTAAAGAGAGTTGATGGCAACTTTATGTTCAAAGCCTTGGTGAACAAGACTATATGTGTTACACTTAATACGAAAAATAAACAATACCACTATAGAAAGATCGCAAAAACTATATATAAGGCAATTAAGCGACTAGTGCGATTTTTCAAGCCGGTTTTGAATTAAAGATGGTTAAAGTTAATTTTTTGCGATCTTTCTAGTGGTATAGTTTATTTTTCGTATAAGAGAACATGAGATTTTACATTTTTTGCCATTATAGTAATTTAGTAGGCAAAATTTTAAAATTCTCAAATTTTAGGCTATAAAGCAAAAATCAGAAGTGACATATATATAGTCTTGTTCACCAAGGCTCAAACTATAAGAAAATGCCTGTTACCAGCTTCTAACATAAAATTGCCATCAAATTGTACAAAATGATGACCAGCCGTCCATATAATGGCCAGCCGTCCATACTGAAACTATAGCGAATTCGCATGCATTTACCCGATAAATCACGTCTAGCTTTTCACGACCGGATGGTCATCAAGAAAAGACTATATACGAGCGATAAAAACAGATTACTCGACATCAGGACTGAAGTTCCTGAAGCAATATAGTAAAGGACGTGAAAGCAAATCTGAGGCTATAGGCTAGTATAGTGTAAGCACTCTGGAATTTCTTCTTTCACTTATTATCTGGGGAAATATTGTTACTGCACTTAATCTCAGTGCATCTAAAGATATGCAAGCATTTGATATGGATCTTGGCAAGTCATCCTCCGATCGGGAAGAGCACTAAATTCAGATAAAGAAATAAGAATGGAAAAAGATTTAAAAAAATCCATTGTCCTTGCTCTTAAGTTTGGACTTCCTGTTTCATTTGTTGAAAAAAGATCTAGAACAAGAAGGGTTCCCAGATTCTTTGACGAAGGGGCCACAGACGAGCATTGACGCAAAAACAAAATTCCGCGTGGAATTGTTCTTTCTTACAATTGATACTATTACTTTAAAGCTAGAAGAACGTTTCAAAGGCCAGCATTGGAAGATGGCAAGAAAATAAGAAGTGCAGCTTGCGTATACGTACTCAAGCATTATTTGCGAAAATGAAATCACCAGCACCTATATATTCCAAGTTGGTATTAGCAATAGTTATTTTTCTGTCTCTGCCCGTTACTGTTGCCACTGCCGCTAAGCGATCATTTTAATAGTAAACTTAATATTATAAAAAAGCTATTTACTAGGATCCACAATGGCATATAGGAAAGATTTAATGCACTAATTGTTGTAATTTCTATATTGAAGTTGAAGAGGCAAAAAGTTTGAAATTGACAAAACGATTGATATCTTTGAAGAGAAAAAGACCGGATCAACTAAATTTAAAAGTTAACTGAAACAATTTGGTTGCAATTAATTAAATTGTGTTCGCTTACGCCTTGTCAGTATATTAATTGTTATGAACCATGTTGTTGTTGCTGTTGCTGTTGCTTAAGCAATAGAAAATGAAGCTGTTTTTTTGCTGTGTTTACAGGGTTATAATTGATGCAGTAATAGTTATATTCGGCGGTAGCTATGATATACTCTCCCAAATTTTGTTGCAGAATTTGGCGCAATATTTGGACCTTGTGTTCCTCATGTTCGTCCAAAATTCAATTCGTAGGGTTAGCATTGTAAAAGAAATTGGGGAAGATGTATAATCAAGGGGTCGTCCCGACTACTTCAACCGGGGGCCCATAACTGAAGATTTCCGCCACTGCAAGTTGTTCGCTTTTTCTAGCCTTTACAGGATTAAAACACAATGAAAAAACTCCCACAAATTGTTTACAGGTTAGCAAATGAATTTTTATATTTAAAATGGTTAAAAATATATATTTTTGAAAAAATAATCGGCCGAAACTGCGAAAGAGCGAAGATGAAAACATATTAAACAAAATAGAAAAATATTGAAAATATACGAAAAGCAAAGTCTGCAGTGAATTCAGACCTTGTGTATATAATAAAACAGTTAAACAGTTATTCCACTCACTCTCGTCAAATATGAGCGATAGCCGATTCGGCGCTACGCGCCTCATCGGCTACCAGCTCCGGCATATTCGACTCGAGTTCGTAGAATAACTGTTAAATATCTTAGAAATTCCTATCTCTAAAAATCGTTTCGTGTCCCGCTTAAAGTTAAGCCATTATGCATTAACATTGTTCTCTACAGATACCCATGTGTGATGTGTCTGTCGTGACAGCACTAGCACATTATTATTATTACGCTTTCCTTCAAACTTTTAGCTCTTGGACCTTGGTCGCAATGAAGAATTTCGACACAAATAAATTACGCAAAGTAACTTAACTATAAATACTGACAAACACTTTTAGGATCTTGATTTTAGAAGAAGCTTCACGATTTCTGAGCTAATAGCGATAAAGTAAACTATGTTTTCGAGGGGGCCAAATTTCCGAAGAAGTATATTTCCTAGGAAATTTGGCCCGGGGGCCAAATTAAACCTGAATTAAATTACAGCTGAATCATCAAATCTTCGGATGGTGCAATAGTGCTATCAATAAATTTTATCTAGGGCCTGTCAACAATTAGTTATATCGAGTGAGATATCCAAAATCCTGATGTCTAATGTATGATCCTAGCTTGCAATGCTTTTTTATACACATTGCAATATTATTGCAATACGGTGTGATATCGGCGAGGATATCTGCGCAAACCGCAAATTATGTACATGCAGTTGTCGTATTACTTTGTTTATTTATTTATTTATTTATTTATTTACGAGCTTTGTCATAAATGACTGGTGATCCCTACTGGGCTTAAGCCTGGTTTCCCGATGATCGTAA